TGAACTCGTATCCCTTTCATCACCTTTTCGTATTGCCTCTAAACCTTTTCGGGATCTCGCCAGGATACCGCAATGACACGAAGGATGAGCCGACATCACTTGACCGAGACAGATAATGTGGCGCTTATGAGCCTACCATGTATCCTTTTCTTCTTCTCCCCTTCTATAGCCTCAAGGTATATGGCTTTCTTATCCACCTATGGCTTCGAGATTCCTTACGTCCGTGACTTCTCAACAACTTCTTGTCCGAGCTCATTAACATGCTTATGCGTAATCAACATAATTATAATGTTAAAAAAATAAAAAAAATTAGATTATATTTGTATATATAAAATTTAAAAAGTAAAAACACTTACCATGCCATTTTGCTACTTATGAATGACCCTAAACGACTTCAAAACTTGTTAGCTCATGCTCCAATTTTGCGGCTTAAAAAAAAATAAATCAAAAACAATATAAGATAAAAAATTAAAATTTATTAAATATTTAATAATATAAGATATGATTTACCAAGCGACGAACGTGCTCTTTCAAAGTGATGGACCTTTTGTATTTCTAGAAGGGCCTACATTAAGGCCACTAGTCTCGACATTCGGCTTTGCGACACTCGTTTTGAAAGAGCCTTTTGATCAAGTGTGGTAAAATCTTAATGCCAAGAGTCCCGGACCTCCTATCTAATAAATTAGACCGTTCGGGTTGCAAACCATGGTTGTAGATGAAGTCGAAGTAGCGCTTTCTTGCCAAAGGCTCTCAAGCATCTTTGGCATGCGCCTTGATGGCTCGGATATCAATAAAAATATTTACGTATGAATAAAAAAAAATTAATATTAAGTAGGTCATTTAATGTTAAATTAATATTTTAAATATAATAAAAATAAATAGGTAATATGTTACCTTAAACTCACTAAAGTAGAACCGTTTAGTAAGCCCCGAGATGGACTTTCACGTCGACCCACCAATGTCCAACCGCTCTTTGAAAGTCATGGCTATCCTCATAAAATAATCTTTACTAGACAAAATGAAAACGTCGAATATCATAAAAATAAAGAAGAAAAATGCTCAATAATTATTGACATGATATATTAAAATAAAAAAAATTACATCGTCTTTAGAAAATTACATACCATCCACGAACAATAGAAACATGTCGTCGATCGAAGGGGTCTTAGGAGCTTTCTAAAGTGGCGGATACCTCGGTGGATATGCCCTTCTCTGCGATCGATGCTGGAACCTTTTATGGCTAGTATGGGAACCTTTGTAGGTGAGGGAGCCTCTATGGCCGGAGTCGCTCTAAATGTGCTGGCTCCGTCGAACAAAAAGAAGAACGTCCCCGGTCGTGAGAGCCATAAGACACTGCGTAGAGTGCCCGAAGTGGGAGATCCCTAATCGACACGGAGTTGGGGATCCCTGTGGGCTACCGTTAGACAAGGATGCACGTCCACGACTACCGAAACATGATCTTGTAGTGATTGCGAGGGGTTAGCCCAAACCACACATCATAGCCAATAATATAACTTAAGACAATTAAACAAAATAAAACAAATATATTATCAATTGAACTATAATTAATATTCAAAACCAACTAATCAATAAAAATAACCCTAATTAATTTAACCCTATATCAAATTAACTTAATTAAATTAATCCAAACTAATTACATTAATTCTAATTCAAACATTAATTACATTTTAAAATAACAACTAACAAATTAACAAATTTGACCTAACAACTAACAAAAAAATTAAAAAAAATTAAAAATTAACAATTAATTAAGAAAAATTTTAACCTAACAATTATCAAGCAATTTATCTAAATTACCCTAATAATTACATAAATTTAACCTAGCATTAACAATTAACAAAATTGAACTCGACAATTAATAAAATTAACCTTACAACTACAAAATTAATGTAACAACTAACAAAAATAATTTTTTAATTAACAAAATTAATCTAATTAACAAAACAATAAAAGAGAGAGAGAACTAACCAAAGGAGAGAAGGGAGATGAGAGATTGCCATAGTAGTTTCAACTTGGTTTTTAGGGAGAGAGGGTGCTTCGTCGGAATTAGTGGGTTGGGGAAGGAATAGGGTGACGTGGGGGTGGTTGTTGGGGTTGGTGAGGGTGGCGATAGGAGAGGAGAAGAGGGAAAAAGGGAAAAGAAAGAGGATGATAAGTTTTAGAGATTTAGGATTAGCAATAGACTTGATTTCGTCTCTAATTTGAATTTTAAACAAACATTTAATTTTTTGAAATTTTTAAAAATTTGAAGAAATTAGCAACAAAATACATTCTGTCGCTAATTAAAGATGGAATAAATAATGTAATTACAAATTATATTCATCGCCGACCCAACGATGGTTTTTAGCGACGGAAATGGTATTCTGTTGCTAAATTACCTTGTTAATTTGTTGCAATTTCACTCGTTGAAATTAGCGTGAATTTTTACCGTACGTTTTAGCAACGGAATTGTTTTCGTTGCTAAATACTCGATCATAAATCGTCACGGATTTATTGTAAATTGTTGTATTTTTAATTTCATTATTATTCGATCGCTATGTAGCGACTAATCGGCGATGAAATGCAAACCGTCACTAATTGTCTATTTTCTTATAGTGAATAGTAAAAATGAATTAAGTGAATAATATTTGGAACAATGCCCATTAATAGTAAACCAATATTTTGCTTTAGTTTTTTTTTTCGGTTAATAATTTAATTGATGAGTTTCCAAACGAATTTTGCTCGATACCCTTTTGGTCCTTTTTTATTCGTGATACGAGTTACGTTAACGTAACCATGTTCGAGTACAAGAGATAAAAAGAAAAACACTTCCATTTTCTATTTTTATTTAGTCATCTCGTTAGGATTAATCTAATATATATTTCAAATTCAAAAGCAATGATGATAAAAAAAAAGAGTCAAAAGTAAAGAAAGTTCTTAAGCAAATAAATCAGGTTATGTATAATTTAAATATTTTAGAGTAGATATATGATATCATTTTTGCTTCTATTGTTTGGAGATGCAAATGAGGTTTTTTACTGTGTAGGTGTAAGTATGAAGAATTATTATTGTGTAGGTGTAAGTATAAAGCCATATTATTGCGATGGAAAATAATGGTTTAATAATATATGGTGGTTGAGATGATGATAGAGGTGATTTGTATGAGTTGGGGTCCTTTGAGGGTTTTTTTTTTTTTTTTTTTGGGTTTTTGATTAGATCAACCAAGATAGAAAATTTTAGATTTTTCTATTTATTTCTTGCTAATACTTTTTAATAAGTATTATAAGAAAAAAAAATTTAAAGTTCCAAAAAGATTGACTAAATTGACAAGCTACCCGCAAAATCAAGATGAGCTGGAATTTTGCTCCAATATGGCAATGGTGATTTGATGACATAGAGAGAGGAAAAAGAAGGAAGAAGAAGAAAAGAAAAAAGAAAAAGAAAAAGAAAAAAAAGTAAAAAATAAAAAGGATATTAAAATAGATAAAAATTAAAAGAAAAAATTAGTACAAAAATAAAAATAAAAAACGTATAAAAGCTTTTAACAGTTCAAAAATATCCTTATAGTCCTTAAAAAAAATTATTTAACTTACAAAAAATTTGATTGTTAAAAAATGTAAATAATTAATGTCTTTTGCTTGTGAAACCAAAGAAAAGGGGCTGAACCAAAATAACGGTCTTTGATTCGCTTCTTAAAGATGGACTAAATCTTTACCATTTTTTTTTTTAAAAAAAGGTCCAATCTAAGTCTTAACTATAACGATTAATTAATACATTTCCTGCACCAAATCCCAAAAAAAAAAGTAAATAAAAATAAAAAGCAAAGAAAGAAAAACCCCAGCACATTTTCCGGGAAAACTGAGCATGTGCCCAGAACGCAAAGAATAACACAACATAAAACGTACAAAAAAGAAAAAAAAGAAAAAACACATATGCACCACGCAGAGTCAGTTCCCTTTCAACCCCACATAATCAAACAAACTAGAATTTTTAAAAAGGAAAAAAACCTACCCCTTTTCAGTTTCCCTAAACTGCCGAATTTTTTTCCTTTCTTTCTCTCTCTTTGCAGATCCAATTTTTTTTCACTAGCGTCTCTTGTCAGCTTTCTCTAAATTCCCTAACTTTACAGCAGTACGCTACACCTACATTGCTCATTTTTAATTTATTTTTAAAAAATGTATCAGTTCTTTTCTTTATTCAAACAACACAAGGTCCAAAAAACTTCTAACAAAATAATTATATTGTTTTTCTCATCCATTTGCTATCTCCAAAGCTTCAAAATGCGAGACATTTTGGCGAAACATGACACCTTGTTCTATCATTTTCTGCGATTCCATCCCTTGCGTTTGTTAGCATTCAAGAGCACTGCAGCTTGTTTCTGGCGCACGTTAGCGCTATTTGGGATTAAATAATAAAGTCACTTAGAAAAAGGGCATGCATCGGAAAGTTTGCCGGGTGACTTTCTGTGACCTGTCGGAGACCTAAGGTTGTAATAAAAATATGTTGCCAAAATAAATAAATATGTTAATAACCCAAAAGTCCATAAGGAATCAGACAATAAATGTTTAATATTTGCACACTAACGAGTGGTGGTGGGTACTCCATAGTTTGATTTAAGTCTAACGACAAGAAAAAAAAAAAAAAGGGTATAATCATGGAGCATATGAATTTTAATAATATCATTATTTATATACAAATAAATATCATTATTTGAAATATATATATATATATATATTCCCTACAGTTGTATGAGATTATAAAAACAGACTAAAAAAAAAAAAGAACACTCAAAGAAAGCCTTTCGGCTTCATGAATTAAATTAAACCAAACTCCATCTCTGCTTCTATACTGTACATTTCTCCATATTCCATTTCCATCAATCATTCAAATAAATAATAAAAAAAAATCTCTTCCTTTTCTTTCTTTATTGTCTTCTGGTCTTTCTTCTTCTTGAAAACCAGTGAATGATTTGTTTTGAGTGAGCTTTCTTTTTGATGTCTATGTCCTTAGAGCATGATTACATAGGCTTATCATCAGAGGTTTCTTCTATGGAAAACATCTCTGATACTAGCATAATAAACATCTCTACTACTACTTCTAAAGGTCTTAACTTGAAAGCCACTGAGTTAAGACTCGGGTTACCCGGGTCCGAGTCACCAGAGAGAGATAATGAGAACCAACAACTTAGTTTTTCCTTAAACAACAACAACAATAGAGACAAGAGCTTCGTTTCTGGGGCTAAGAGGGGTTTCTCTGTTGCCATTCATGGTGGCTCTTCTAACTGGGTTTTCTCTGGAAATGCTGGATCTGTCCCGAATTTATCTTCTAGAGGTACTAATGCTGGCAAAGACGGGTTGCCTCAGTCACCCAAGCCTGTTGTGCAGGAGAAGAAGAGTCAGGCTGATGGTGCTAATACTAATGGTCATGGGGCAGCTCCTGCTTATAAGTAGCCCACTTGCTTCTCTTCTCTCTCTCTCTCTCTCTGAGGAGGGGTTTTATTTTTACCTTTTCTCTTTCTTTGTCTTGCCAGACTGTTTTTATGATTTGTATTCACTTGATTTTTGGAGTTTATTTTATGTTTTTGGTGGCTTTTAGCTAGTTTTTCTTTCTATCCAGTTGCTGAGATAATTTTGTAAGAAAGATTGAAATTTTATCGTGGATGCTCCTCCCCTCCAAAACCACCACCACCCCACCACACCACCAACCCCCCCCCCCCTTGTTGGCTATTGGTGGATTGTTTTTATTATTAACTTGCTGTGGTTCCAATTAGTATTAATTATAAAACTTATTTTCTTTTGGAAGACTGTTGAGTGGTTTAGCAGGACTCTTTGCTTGCTGATTTCTAATAAATGTGATATTTTTGAACTATTGATCCAAACAATTATACAAAAGAGTTGAATAATTTGTTCTGGTTTCTTTATGATTCTCTTCATGGAGCTTGTGGTTTTCATCTTTTATTTAGATTTTTTTTTCATTGCTATTACCAGATGTTGTAGTTTACATGCTCTTTTTTCCATTTGTTTGATTCAAAACGTATGGTTTGTTTATGTATTGAATTCTCAAGTTGTGCTGCAATAGCTTGCTTTCTCTATGCTTTTATCTGCTGACCATGTGTTGTAGTTTTCCAAAGTGCCATATGATTTTTTTTTTCCTTACCTCTAGGGCTAGAGAAAGTGCTTTATATGCACACACACTCACGCACACAAACTCTTTTGTTTTGACGAGCAGGTCTTGTTGCTTTGATATTCTTTCTATAATGTCTGTTTACAGAGGAAATTGAATCTTCTGGTTTAAAGGTTAAAGTTGATCAAGTGTTTTCCTCTCTTTTTAATTGAATTTTCAACCTTCAAGGTTGAAGTGAATTAAGCCTTTTTATATCCTCCCAAGAGAGGACCAAAATAAATTCTGGCTTTCTCCTGTCTTGCATTTGACAGGGCACAGGTTGTGGGATGGCCACCAATTCGCTCATTTCGAAAGAATACAATGGCTTCTCACCTTCCAAAGAATGATGATAATTCAGAAGCCAAGTCAGGATCGGGGTGTTTGTATGTCAAGGTCAGTATGGATGGCGCCCCTTATCTGAGGAAAGTTGATCTGAAAACATATGGCAGTTACATGGAACTTTCTTCAGCACTAGAAAAGATGTTTAGCTGCTTTACAATAGGTAAACTCTCTTTTCCACACCATGTCCATTTCAGCGTAGTTTCAACTTCCAATCTCCAATTGTTTCTCTTTTGACAAACATTCACCTACTCATAATAACTTAATGATTTAAATATTTTTTGTGATGCCTGAAGTATTATAACGCTGTGAAGGACATTTACTTTTTAATCGAACGAAGTTATGCACCCTCTTGTGCTTGAAAGTGGGTGAGTTAATGAGTTAACTCTGAAAATCGAGGTTGGCTAATTGGAAGAATAACATTTAGATGTTATTCTGGAAATACACAAAGAATCTGCTTTTTATATTTGGCGAAATGCTCTTGAAAAGCCATGAAAATCATAATTAATCCATGTAAAGTTTTATGCAAAATGATATGATATTTCTTAAATACATTATATAGGATTGTCAACCGTCTTCTAAGCTTAAATATGGCGGCAGTATTCAAAGTATTTCCCTTCAATTAAAAATTTAGAGAGAACACCTTAACTGTGAGATTTATCTGGGAAATGGTTATTAGATAATTATTTTTCTAACCACAGCTGGCAACACTTATGGTTCTTTTAGCCATGCAGTAAATGACATGCAAGTATACACATGCATGCCACAAAATGCAGCACACATTGGTCTACAATCCTGTCATCCATGTTCTTCTCTTGATGAAAAATTCCAATTGTGTGTTTTGACTGAAGGAAGTTGATTTCTGTTGATAAATGGCTGGCTCAGGTCACTGTGGCTCTCATGCAGTTCCTGGCCGAGATGGGTTGAGTGAGAGTCGATTAATGGATCTCCTGCATGGTTCAGAATATGTTCTCACCTACGAAGACAAAGACGGTGATTGGATGCTTGTTGGTGATGTTCCTTGGAAGTAAGTGCCATTCCTAACTCATAAATATTGCAATAACAAGTCAAAAGTGATCTATAGATTAATCTGATTAGTAGGTTGGGTGAATGCAAAAGGGATACATTATAGGAAGTAGGATATTATAGATAAACATGAAATAAGGCATCTTGAGCCAACAGTTTTGCTAAATAGAGGTGTCTGCTTTTATTCATTAAATTATCATCATCTCCTATCAGGCTAGTGAATTTCACAGTTTTGCATCTTGACTATTCAGAAAATGGAACCATCATCCTGCTGGATTGCCATTCACGTGACCTATCAGATACATGTTAGCATTTTCTTTTTGTTGTAAATAGTTTCCATTAATTATCTCATGAATTTGGACAGTCGTCATCTTTTTTTCAAATAAGTTGTTGTGAAGGGCCTCTTTTGTTGTAAATGATTCATGAGTATGTCAACTCTAGTGTTGTGTTTTCTTCTCTTCATTACAATGGTTCTTTCTCCCTAACCAACTTGTGAATGAGGAATTTCAGCAGTTAGATGACAGCGGCTTGCAATTTCATAATTTGCATTCCTTAGCATATGATATTTTGTTGATTATTATGCTGGGGAATATTAATTGCTACTAATGCACTGCCATTATAATATTATTAATTGCCAGTGAGATCATCAAGCAAAACGTAAGTTAAGCATACTTTTACTAAGGAATCTCTGGAAGTTTTGCTCATCCTTGGTGTTGCAGGATGTTCACCGACTCTTGTAGGAGGCTGAGGATTATGAAGGGATCAGAAGCAATTGGCTTAGGTACGTTCTATCACATATAAAATGCAATGGAAAATATCTTCTCTTCAAATGTTCTGAGGCAATTAAATTATTGCTTCCATTTCTTTTTTTGTTAATTACACTGCACAACTGGCGAGATGGGTGTTTCCTCCATCATCAAGCCACGAAATGCCCATCAGTATTGCAATCATTTGATATTTCCTATCTCGACGATTGGAAGAGTAAGAGTTCCCAATTTTTGGGAATTAGCAATCCGCCCTCAACATCTGTTATATGATAGAATTTTTCTTTCTGTTGCTATGATTAGATTTAGCCTTGCTTAGAATGTTTCCATATCTACTTCTTGCAGCCCCAAGAGCCATGGAGAAGTGCAAAAGTCGCAACTAGTGCCATGTGTTCTCTAGATGGATCAAATCCTCCTTGTGCCAAAGATAATGCAGGTTGTTATATTCCTTTGTTGAAAGCCTTTAACGGGTCTCAAATGCGGTTTCCCTGTTTCTTATTTGCTTATGTTTCTGAATATCGTACCAAGACTGTACTATGAAACTTCCTTGTAGGCAGGATATGATGTTGTAGACACTATCAGGTTTTATAGTTTTGTCCACTCCTTGTATTCGGAATTCTGGATGGTCTAACTACAATGTTATGTATAAAATGGTTTGAGTGTTAGAAAATCATAGGATCTTCTAAACAAAAGAGCTACACATAACTCCAGTCATATTGAATTAAGATCTTGTACTAAACAAGAAAATGTGTTAGTTGATAGAATAAATAAGAGTTAATTTGTACTTACAAAATAATTAAAAATAAATTGATAATAATTATAATCAAATACTTGAAGCTTCTCTATCCTGACTCTTACCTTTTAAGTTTTTTTAGAAGTGTAGAGAGAGGGATCGACAGCCTTTATATAAAATCTTCATAAATGTAACTTTATACAATCACCAAAGAGTTGGTAAGTTGTAACATGGAACTTCTATTAATTTCTTTCTCCTAATATTTTAATGAACCCTTATATAAACGCTGGAGTGCTCCCTTTTAACGTAATTATATGGTTGTATCTTACATTCTTCCAATTGGTAAAATAATTACGTTAAAATTCCCTATATCTTTTTCCTTCATATTGAATGAATGCCTATGAACTATAACCGTAATGATCACTTAATGCTTATCTAAATTAGTCACACTAATTTTGGATTACCATGTTTTACATTATTTTCTAATGTAAATTTCTTCCATTTATTACAAGATTAGTTACTCATTTGAATAGTTCATAATGAGGAATAAATGAACTGTAAATCATGTTGTTCATATATATATATATATATATATATATATATGGTCCTAAAATAACATCAAAATAAAATTCTATATTTTAAAATATCAACAAGTGTGCATGTAGGGCAGGATAACGAGCAAATATATCTCTAAGCTTCCGATGTTCAATGTAGGTTATTTATAAACTATTAGTAAGATAAGTTTATTTGGTGGTAATGCTTTTGTCAGAGGGTCTGGACCCATTATTTCAGTACTGATATGATCAATGGACATCTTTTCATCACGAATTATTTCTCTGACAACAAGATATTTTTATTGCCCCAATGACAGTCCAGGAAGGAGAGGGAGTGACTCAGAATCAACCTTTGAAAACCTGAAAATACGTAAAATATCAGGTGAAAAGACTACGTACTAGTACATCGTATTAGAAATGGTATACCGATAAACAGAAAACAACAAAGCAAAAAATAAGAAAAACTTTTACCGGTATACCAAAAGCTTACTAGTACAGCGAAAGTAATAAAAACGGTTATGTAGAAACGGGATAAAAACTTTTGCAAGTACACCGGCAGTCTGCTAGCAGTAGTCTGTTGGTATAGAGAAACAAAAAAGTAAATTAACAGAAGTAAGTACCTAAGTCATAATTAAAATACCAAATAAATAAAGAGTAGGGATCAAGAAGAGCGGAACTAGATTTATATTGGTTCTTCATAATGTGTGAATAGTTCAATCCTCAAGTTAGGGTTTAGTTCAAACTATAGGACGAAATCAACATGTATAAGGAAAAAAAAAAAAAATCATATTTGCTTAGTCAAAATTGTCTCTATCTCGATGACAAAAATAAATGAAATTCATGTTTCTTGGTTTTTGAGGGGACGTACGGGATAGAGACGGACGAAAATTTTAATAGATGAATTATTTTAACCATTGAATTTGCTTAACAAAAAAGTCAAAAGTATAAATGAGAATATCACAAAAAGATAAGAAAACGAAAATAAGAGAGAAAGAGAGAAAAAAGATAAAAGAGAAACTTTTCAACCACAAGACTGGTCATAAAATCAACCAATGCTACCATCTCGATAAAAAAAAATAAACTATGAATGGAATGAATAAAGGAGCGAAAATGTATTTCACTATCTCATGAATAACGATTACTAGATACCTTTAAATACAAGAATCATTCAGTTTATGTCTAGCCGTATTTGACTTAATAAGGGAATGATCCCTAATTTAATTGTTAAATAAGGAGAAGATAGTTAAGGAAAGATCCCTAATTTAGATGCAAAAGTATGAGAAGACAAGTTGATGAAAAAGAGGAAGGATTGAAAAATATTTCAACCCTTATCATTGCCCCTCCGAGTAGAGGGTGTAAAAATATTGAGCACACCAAACTTGGAGAGGTGTTGGTGCATTAGATCCCGAGTCGGCGGTTTGGTGAACATGTCAATAGGTTGAGATTTGGTAGAAATGTGTGTCGGAGAAATGAAACCATGTTGTAATTTTTCTCGTATTATATGACAATCGAGTTCGATGAGTTATGTTTGCTCATGAAAAACTAGATTGGCTACTATATATAAAGCGAGTTTGGTTGTTACAATGTAGTAGAATTAGAAGCAGTTAGTGAATATACAAATCGAGGAGTAAATTGGATACCCGAGTGAGCTCACAATATATTAATGTTATAAAACGATATTCGGCTTCGACGTAACTCCGAGAGATCATGGGTTGCTTCTTAGTCTTTAATGAAATAAGAGCTCCTCCTAAAAAGATACAAAAACTAGAAATGGATCGACAAGCCATCGGACATTTATCCTAATTAGAATCATAACATATAGTCAATTGTAAAGGAGCATTGGACGGGAAAAGCAACCCCTAACTTATTGTTAACTTCGAGAGTTGCTTGAAGATGTGGTTCTCGAGGTGACGCCATAAATTGACTAAGGACATGCACAAGATAAAGGATGTTAGGTCAACTTATAGTCAACTATATGAGTTGGCCTACCGATTGACAATAATAGTCGGTGTCGTCAATGAGTGCACTCGTACCATTATTTAATTTGAGATTCTGCTCCATCGAAATTGAGTTGGGTTTGTAGCCAAGCGATCCCGCATCACTAAGAATATCAAGGACTTACTTCGGTTGGCTTAGGTGAATGCTTGATGAAGAATAAACAATTTCTAAGCCAAAAAAATATTTAACCGGTCCTAGATCCTTGATTTTGAAGGCAAAGTAAAGATGAGATTTAACATAAATAATCAAGAGAGAATTGGTTCCTATGATTATGATGTCATCAACATAAACAAAAAGAGTGGTAAAGTACGAACCATGAGTAAGAGTAAACAAAGAATAGTCACATTGGGATTGTTTGTAGCCAAGTGATTGAAATAATGAAGAGAATTTTTCAAACCATTGCCTACTAGCTTGTTTAAGTCCATACAAGGACTTCTAAGTTTGCATACTTATGACTCTCCCTTGATATAAAATCCCGATGGAGGTTGCATGTAAATATCCTCTTATAAGTCGCCATATAAGAATATGTTGTTTACATTTAACTAAGATATTGGCCAACGTTTAGAAGCCACCATGAAAAAAAATGTACGAATGGTGGTTATTTTGGCAACTGGTGCAAAAGTTTCCTAATAATAAAGTCCTTCTATTTATGTATAACCATTTGCTACCAATCGAGCTTTGTACTTGTTCCAATGATCCATCGATTTAAACTTGATGTTATACACTCATTTACATCCTACTACATATTTTTTTAGTGGTAGCAAAGTCACACTCCAAGTATCATTTTCTTCTAGAACTCGAATCTCTTTCATTATTGCATTTCTCTAATTTGGATCTTTAACAACCTCGATATAAGTGTGAGGTTCAATTGATATTGTAATTTGGAAAACAAAATCATTATGGAAAATAAAGAGATTAGAATAACAAAGGTATTCGGATAAAGGAATGGAGTAGAAATTTTACCTAATTGATGATTGTTGTCGACTTGTACTAAATAAAGAGTTGGTAGACGTAATCTTAGGTCCGGATGAGAGGTTTAGCTGAACGGAAAGATCTACAAAGAGGAGAACTCATGATAGGTGATGGGTTGACTTTTAGGTTTGATGGTGCAAATGCATAGGGTAAAGACTTAGTTATGGGCTTAGGATAAAAAGTGGGTTGGAGTGGCTAAGAAAGAGCACCTCTTTTAGATGCATTGGATGGGTTGGCGGCAGGTGATGTCTCGGTATAAGAAATAGGCTGGAGTCATCGAGGATAGCACCTCTTGTAGACACATGAGATGAGTCGGTAGTAGGCGATGGTGCGGTATCGAAATAAGTTGATGTGGCTAAGAGAGAGCGCCTTTTTTCAAAAGAATAGGATGGCTTAGTAGTAGGTGAAGGTGACATGTTTTTAAAAGACGTAGTGACATCATAGGTAGACTATGATATTCTTGGATCCAGATTGTATTGCATCATTAAAGATTGTATCATTTTGAGATAAACCCCATTTAGTTGAGAAGTCATCTTTAAATTTGATAGTATCGGTAGGAAAGATTATATGAGGTATTTAAAGGCTTGATTTTAAAGAGAGGAAGAAAGGTTCTTCAAATGTCACATATCTGGACACAAAAATTCTCCATGAATTCAAATCCATCACTTTCTATCATTTTTCTTTGAAGGATATCAAGAAAAATGCATCTCATGGCTCTTGGATCAAATTTGTCTCGATCGTGAGAATTAGTGGAGGCAAAGCACCGGCAATCGAATACTTTTAAATAGTTAAATGATGGAGCTTTATTATGGAGTAGTTGATATAAGGTCTTTTGGTGGAGTAGTGACGATGGTATACGGTTTATAAGATAAGTTGCTATCAAGGTGCGGTCTCCTTAAAATTCCGGAGGCAAATTAGCCTAAAATCTAAGAGCTCGTGCAATAGAAAGGATGTGTAGATGTTTCCTTTTGACTATTGCATTTTTTGTGGGTTGTAGGGACATGTACTTTAGTGAATTAATTTTTTATTTTTTATCTAGAAACAAGGTAAGTTCATGATTGAAAATTTTTAACCCGTTATTTAATCTAAGATGTTTGATCAGTTTTCTAAATTTAGTATCGATCAT